CCTTGCTGCAATCCTTCAGCAGCTGCTCACTGCTGCAGGGCGGACCAAAGTGTCTGCTGTGTGCACAGGCCCCAGCTCCCTCACGTGGCCCACCCCCTGCTCCTGCTCCCAACCCCACCATTATACACCTGGCCCTGTGGTCTGCAGGCCTCCTCACGTCATCGCCCCACCCCTTTGTGGACTGTGCGCCATCCCCTGGGCCAGGGACGCTCACTCCGTGCTCCTCAGGGTTCCAGGAGCACAGCTTTCACACCAGTCTGCTTGGCATCTCCTGCCCCTGCTGCGCTGTGGCCTCCTTCAGGGCAGGAATCTGCCCTCGCTCAGCCACTGCTCGGCTGTGTGCCCTGACTGGCACTTGTTTGTGAGTGGAGGCGCACGGAGGGGGTCCCCAGCACCACATCTGGTTGGGACGGAAGGGCAGGAGGGGTGGCGGGGCCGCATGGGTGGAGGGCCTGAGTTGAGGCTGAGAGGTGAGCCACGTGGAGGGAGGTGAGCAGCCAGGAGGCAGGGCAGCTGCAGGGGCAGGAGGGCTGTCCTGGGACATTGGGGCCCGTGGCTGAGACCCAGGACTTGGCTGGGATGCCCTGTCTGTCACAGTTTTCTGCTGACTGTGCTCAGCCCCACAGAATTCAGGGATGGACTGAGGCCAAGAAGGCTCTGGGGACCTTCAGGGAGGGCTCCTAAGGTGACCTGGCACCACAAAGAGCAAAGACCCTCTAGGCTCCACCTGAGCCACAGGACACAGTGTGACCTGCAGGCAGCCTGGAGCCACTGTGCTCCTCCCCTCGCCCCCGCCCCTCGGGCCCATGTAAGAGACTCCTGTGGAGCCCAGCTGGCCGGGTTCAACCCCCTCATTCGGGTTTGGGACTCTGAGAGGGTTATGCGCTCCCCCTGAAATGAGGGTTATGGTCCCTGGAGGCAGCCCTGCCCTGTCCTTTCCTTTCCCCTTCCCCTTCCCCTTCCCCTTCCCCTTCCCCTTCCCCTTCCCCTTCCCCTTCCCCTTCCCCTTCCCCTTCCCCTTCCCCTTCCCCTTCCCCTTCTCTGCTTTGCTGTTCTCTTTCCTTTGCTTTCTGTCTCAAGACTGTACAGCTCAGGCAGCCACGGCTCCCCCAGCCTTCGTGGCTTCAGAGGAAGCAAGGACAGCAGAGCCAGACGGGCGGCCTGCTCATCTGAGGTTTGGCAGCTGCGGTCTCTTTAATGAGTCCAGAAGGGCATTGAGGAAGAGCAACTCCAGATGGTTTCTGGGTTGTGCACAGGGAGCCTGTGGTGTCTGCGAGTCGAAGCCGGGTCAGAGGAAGGGTCTGTGCAAACCCAGCAGCCACGGGAGCAGGAGCGCGGCAGAGCCCAGGCCTGCTTCACGGTGGCCAGCCTCCTGCTCTGGGCCTCCGGCGCCTCCGGGCCACAGCTGCCACATCTGGGCTTCGTGGGCCTCATCTGCAAATGGCAGAGAGAAGGGAACTGTCTTGGGGAGTCCTCTCTTATGTCAGGGGCTTATACCCCATCTTCAGATGAGAAAAGGGAGGCCAGGGTCAAACTGTGTGAAGCACAACGGTGCTGCCCCCTCTCACTGGCACTCCAGTTCCCTTTCCGCGCTCTCCAGGGGATCTGGCTTGGGACCTGGCCCACGGCCTCGGCCTCGGGCGCAGCCCTGCAGTGGCTGCAGGAGTGTTCCCGTGCGTCCCACCGGGTGCGTGGGTATTCCATTCTCAGACGGGGTGGCAGGGTGATCCTGGACCAACAGAGAGCACGGGACTTCAGAGGAGGGGCCTTGGTGGTAAGTCTTCAGGATCAGCAAGAGCGCTCCACGGACAGGAGCCATCGCGCAGAAGGGCAGCCGGTGAAAGCACAGAGCGGCAGGCAGCGCTCAGAAACCCTTGTCCTCTGTCGCGTTCCTGCTTTGCCAACCCGAGTTCCAGGGGCGCCCGGGAAGGACCTGCCACCTATGTCGTGGGCCCTTCGGATTCAGGTTAGTTACTTGGCTCAGATGAGATCAGGATGGAGAAGGTGTTTTCTTCTGAGGTGACTGAATCGTCAAGAAGAAAAGAGGTGCTTTAGGCACAGCTGGATTCAAGGGCTCAGAGCTGTCTTTAGGACTTGGTCCCGGTCTGACCCTCTTCTGGGGGCGCTTCCATCTCACAGGTCCCCTCCACCCGGGGGGGCTCTCTGAGCCCACAAGGACCAATTCCGGAAGAGGCCCCTGTTTCTTCATATTGTCCCTGAAGTCCCAGAGTTGAGCCTCACTGACCTGAATTGGATCACTTGCCCTGCCCATGACCAATCACTGCTGACGGGAAGAAGGAATATGCTAATTAATCAGGATGGGTCACAGGTCCATCCTGGAGCCAGCCCTGGGCAATCGCATGCAGGTGATTCTCAGAGGAAAACCCAGGTGCTGCCAGTAGCTGAGGGGCCAAGGTCAGGGGAGGCGGGCCAGCCGCACAGCGAGTGTCCACCGCACAGGAGCCGCTCAGACTCCCTGCCGGTTGTGAGGCGAGGTTCTCAGGCAGGTGTCAGGATCACCAATGACGCTGGCCTCCTCTTCAGGGCAACCCTGTCTTCCCTGCCAGGCCATGGGGAGCACACGGCAGTGTCTCGCTCCTAGTGCGGACTCAGCTAGGGGGTGATGAATGCCTCTTCTAGACACTGGGGTCTTTCTTGTAGCTGAGAATGTGGGAATTTGTGAAATACAAAGGTAGAAGCCATTCTGCAATATTTAAGTTCCAAGGTGAGAATGGCCAGGCCTCAGCTGACAAACACTCCGGGAACCTTTCCATATTTTAGTTCAGATACATATGGAACAACATCGGAGCGCCATGCACACCATGGCCCCACGGCCCCACTGCCCCACGGCCCCATTGCCCCACTGCCCCACGGCCCCACGGCCCCACGGCCCCACGGCCCCACAGCCCCACGGCCCCACGGCCCCACGGCCCCACGGCCCCACGGCCCCATGGCCCCACGGCCCCACGGCCCCACTGCCCCATGGCCCCACGGCCCCACGGCCCCACTGCCCCGCGCTGCAACCACACAGCCCGACTCTTCGCAAATAGGGCGCGCAGAGTGCGGCCCCCTGCGGGCGGGCCCACCAGGGTGCACGGCACGGGCTCTAGATGTCAGGGACGGCGCTGCGAGGGTCAGATTCCAAGGGAGATGGGCCAAGGCCTCGCTGCGCCTTCTGCTCACTCTCTGGAGCAGGGAGCAGGCCTGCTGGCTGCCCTTCCGGGGAACCCAGGGCCCGGCCTCCCCCACTGACTCCTGCAGGAGGCTCCTTCCTGTGGGGAAGCACTTGCAGAAGGTGCTCTGTGGGACTGAGGTGGGAGGGGCTGCAGAGAGGGGGCTGAAAACCAGCTGTTTTTTTTGGCGGGGGGAGGGGGGGAAGTGGTGGTAGAGTACCAGGTCGTCTGGCAACAGCATGTCCCAATGGGCATGAGGAAGAAGCAGAGACCCTAGACTCAGGCACAGTGCCTTTGTGCTCCTCAGCCAAAGGAGGCAGCCTCTGGCAGGCATAGCCTCAGGTGTGTGCCTGGCGAGAGCTCCTGGGTTCAGGGCCCGACCTGGGCACATGCAGACACTGTGTGGGCGAGGCCACCCTGGAGCCTGAGCCGCCCCCTGGGAGAGGCAGCCCCTGCTCTGCTCCAGGCTCAGCTGGACAGTGCTCGCCTCGGCTCCCCCCGCTCCGGGCTCAGCCGGACAGTGCAAGGAGCGCCGGCCGCCAAGACAGACTTGGTCAGCATTGCCTACGCGCACTGTGCCTGCTACCACGGCCCCGTGCGTCTGCCGGCTGTCTTGGTCCTGCCTGCCCCCCGGGGGAGACCAGCCTTGGGACAGCCAGCTCCTGCTCAGCAGCGGGGACCTCCCCTGGTTTGAGAGCCTGTCCTCTGAATGCTGGCTCCCTCTTCCTGTTTGAAAAGAACCCAGAACTTCCAAGTGCAGTGGCTCTGGCTTCTTCCCGTGTCTCTCTCAGATCCGACCGTGGGAGCACTGAGAGCCCCTGGCTGTGCTTGCAGGCCAGCCCCACTAGGGCCCTCCATCCTCCTCCATCCTCCGTCCACTGCAGAGCCTGGGAAAATCAGCACGTGGGACTTGCAGGGGGCCTAAGGCCCAGGAGGCAGGGGTGTGGTCGGCAGGCTAGCAGCTCAGGATGGACCTCACACAGCGGCTCCTTAGAGCTCAGGGCAGAGATGGAGTGCAGGGGGAGGGCTGCCTGGAGGATTTCCCTCCCCCAGAAGGGACAAGCTGCCTGCAGCAGCTGGCCAGCAGGGATTCCTGGGGAGGGATGTGGCCTGCCTGAGTGCCTGCAGCTGTCAGAGCAGTGGCCGGGGCGGGTGCTCACTCAGTCCCTGACCCTGGGCCGGAGGCAGGACAGCCTGGAAAGCCTGTTTGGGCCGAGGATGTAGGGGCGCCTTGGGGCTTGGGGTGGACACAGGATGGAGCATGGGGTTGAACTGAGCCCAGGCCATGGGCTCCCTGCTAGAGAGGGCCAGAAGCTGAGAGGTCAGGGTTACTGGTGGGCGAGGTTGAGGAAGGGTGCTGGGTGCCAGGCCTTTCAACACTAGACATTCCTCCTCCTCTTCCTTCCCTGCTCCGGCCTGCAGGCTGAGCTGGGCGCACCCTCCGCGTGTCCCTGTGCGCACGTTTCCTTGCGTTTCTCTCTGTGTTCCTGGCTCTCTGGCTCTTTTCACCTCACTCACTCTGACCTGTGTCCTTTCTTCTTTCTCTGTCCCAGTTCCAGCCTGGCTTCACTGCACCAACGGACCCTCTCTCCCGGCCTGGGCGTTGTGGGGCTCTGGCAATCCATCAAGACTCCAAGACGGTCGGAGGCAGCCAGGGCCACCTCTGTGCCCCTGAGGGTGGCGGCCCAGCAGGAGTGGCCTCTGCAGCAGGCCTTCTCGACGTGCGGGAGGGGGTGGCCGGGGACAGGCTCTGGCCCCCCAGCCCTGCCTGGCCTGCTCACACCAGCGGTTCTGCTTTCACAGACTCGGGGATTTCTTTCTTTGCAGATGTTGGAGGAGCTCAAGTGTTGGCAACGGGCAAGTCCACTGGGGCGGAAACTGGTAGGTGCCTGCCCAGCTGACTCTGCCCGGGAGACGAGGCGGGTGGGGCGGCGGTGGGCCTCTTACAGCTGTCACACAGAGGAAGGGCACTCCCGCAGGCCTGCCTGAGTGGCTAGTGCAGCTTTGTCCTGGACATTGTCCTGCCCAAGGGCCTGTCCTAAGGGAATGTGAGTCCTCGGGCCACCTTTGTCCACACTCTGATGTGCAGCTCCAGCACCTACTGGCCTGCCCGCAGCCTCATCCCAACAGCAGGCTTGGCCCTGCTCTGTGCCCAGGCCCCTCCCTCCCGCACCATCAGCTCTTCTCCAGCTGGGAGTTCAATGGCAGGCAGGGTGTCCTCCTGCAGGAGAGTGGCCTCCCGGGTCAGCCTGGCCCGTCACCGGGCACTAGAGGGAGCCCTGTGCTCCCCAGCGGCCAGCAGGTTCCCCGGGAGCCAGGCCTCATTCCTTTGCCTTCAGCGCTCACAGAGCAGGCAATGAGAGGAACTAATGGAAGTGTAGTGAGGAAGGCCTACAGGAGGCCAGAGGAAGGAACTGCTGGTCCCTTGGAAGGGATCCCACAGCCCAGGGGACCCGGGCGGAGTTCCGAGAGGAGAATCTGGGTAAAGGAGCCGGAGCCTATGTGCCCTCCGGAGAGTGGACGTTAGGTCAGCCTCAGTGGGTCACACGCGTGACCGTGGGCTTCGTCCAGAATGTAGAGGTTGCCTGGACGCCCTTGGCAGGTGCTGCCCCTCAGAGCTATCGTTCAATGTCTCCTCACCCTTCAGACATCAAATACGCCCTCATCGGGACGGCGCTGGGCGTGGCCATCTCAGCGGGCTTCCTGGCCCTGAAGATCTGCATGATCAGGAAGCACTTGTTCGATTTTGATTCCTCAGACCTGCGGAGCGCAAATGTGGGAGTCAGCGGTAAGGACACGGGCGCTCAGCCGGGCTCTGTCCCCGACAAGGACATGTTCCCGGCAGCCACCCCACAAGGCACCCAGGGCCACTGCAGAGCCCTTGGTAGAGAAAAACTAAAAGGCACGGCTGCGAAGAAATAGAGTGACCCCCGCCCTGTCCGTCCTTCCGTCTGTCTCCGTGTCTTTCTCCTTAGTGGCTTCCGATGTCCTAAGAATCGGGTTCCTGAAGGAAGGTGGGAAAGATGGACCCGATCCTGGGGGTAGTGAGGCTGGCGGGCGGAAGGGGCTGCCAGCACTGACTGTGTGGCCAGTTGCATTTTTTCAAAAACAGGGAGTCCTCAATCCAGGAGGCACCTGCAGGGCACAGCGCACGCAGACGCTGAGCTGTCAGTTTGTGCGTGGCTTTTTAAAAAGATTTTTTATTGATTTCTTTAGAGAGAGAGGGAGAGAGAAATGTCCCTGTGAGAGGGAACACTGATGGCCTGCCTCCTGCACTCCGCCCACCAGGGATCGAGGCCGCGGCCCGGGCATGTGCCCTGACCGGAATCGACCGGCAAACTTGGTGCATGGGACACAGCCGAGCCACACCAGCCAGCGCAGTTTGTGACTTTTGATGGCAGAATGCAACAGCGATTGACACCCTTTTGTCTCAAGACGGGGCCTGCAAAAGCCACCCCCCTGAACGGGGTAATGGCATGATGATGGAAGATGCAGTTTTCCATGAGGCTTTCCTGAGGGCGAGGAAGGAGATGCCTCAGCATGTCTCCAGAAAATGCAATGGTCATCTGTGAAGATATGCAGAAGGCATGGGGGAGGGGGGAGTCTGGGCCAGGAAGAGGGGGGGGCAGCAGCTCTCGGGGCCTTCCTGGGATGCTAGCGTGTCTAATTGCACGAGGGGCTCAATTTGCCATAGGAGTTTATTTACCATTGATTTTGTATCCCTGCGAACAAGGAGGGAGGGAGAGCTATAGCCTCTTCATCACAGAGCAGGTGCACGTCAGACCCCTGAGGGCAGAAGCTCCAGGGGCTGCAGGTGGAGAAGAGGGGAGGGCGGGCTGCTTAGGGAAGGCTCAGCCTCCCCTGCCTGCTAAGCTATGAGTTGTCATGGGCAGGAGCTGAATAGAGAGGCTCTGGCAGTGCCAAGGGGGGGGCGGCGAGCCCTCAGCTCAAGACCATTGCCCCAGTGCCCCCCCCCCCCTTAGGGAGCCTCTTAACCCTGCCCGAGTCCAGGTGGCTCTGCCCCCCCCCCCTCATCCCCCGTTGCCTGGCACTGAGCGAGCTGCACACCAACCACAGCGCCTCCTTCCTAACGCCCTGCTCTCTCTGTTTAGATACCATCGCGCCAAAGAAGAGAGCTCCACGGTAAGGCTGCTGCTGGGGGACCATGTCCCGCCTGCTTCGTCTGTTCTGCTCCCGGCCTGGCAGCCCCGCCCTTTTCTGAAACACTTCCCATGGCCCCTCCTCCCACTCTGCTCCTCTGGCTGTGGGCAGGTGTCATGAGAGGGTGTAGCAGCCAAGTGGGCTTGGGCTTGCCCTGGGCACTGGGCACGTGCTGCAGACCATGTGGCCACTCCGGGCCTGTGTCCGGGCGATGGAGTGAAGGCTCAGACGGAGCCTCAGCAGAGTGGCTGGGCCATGCTCCCTGGCCAGCCGGACGCCCACACGCCGAGAGGGACTCTCTGAGTTCAGGAAACTTAGTTTTGGAAACTCCAGGGCCCCTGGAAGTCTCCAGAGCTGGTCGCAGGCTCTGCTTCAGGGACTTCTTAGAACTGGAATTCACAAGAATGTCAGGTTTCACCACGCCCACTGCTTACCCTGGCCGTGTGTCTGCCTATGGGCCACTAGCAGGGTGGGGCGGCAGCGGCTGTGATGATGTGGGACGAATGACTGACACACGCTTGAGTTTGGGAAGATCTGCTGTGGACAGTGCAACCCAAGCAGGTAGCCCCTGGTTTCCTGTTGCTGTGTGTGACCGGGTCAGAGGGAACCCTCCATCTTGCGTGTGTGTGAGTTCTGGATCATTCTGACACGCCAGAGCCGGAGGGAGCGACTTCCACACTGCAGGCCAGGTGGCTGATGGTCACCCAGCAACAAGCCCTGTGCCTGCGGTTCAGGGAGAGGGGCTGCAGGCAGCAGGAGGAAGGGTGGTGGAGGAAGGAAGGAAGCAGCGAAGGAGGAGAGGTGGGTGGCTGGGCCTCGCTGGCCGCCCAGCTTCCCCCGGGACGTGCCCTCCCCTTGTGCGGGAGCTGCTCCTGGCCTGGGGCCTATGGGAGCTCCCCACCAGCACAGGGATTCTCGAAGCAAAGGGAGGCACAACTCAGATTTCTGAAACTGACACTAGATGGAGTCAGGCTGAGTCAGGAGAAGTTAGACCGAAGGACAAGCAAGTCAGTCTCTTACAGCAAAGCTGCATGTGCTTTCTGTCACCCAGGAACGATTTAATAAATCACTTACCATAACTTATCACAAATAGGAGTGATGCCTACCCTCTTCTTCTGCTTTGCAGGTCGAACCTCAACTTCTCCGAAAGGTGAGTTGGTTGCAGGAGTCAGCACTGACTGAAGGAGAAGGACAGGCCGGCCTGCGGTGGCTCGCCTCACGCCACGAGAGCGGAGTGGCCACTAGCCAATGGCGCGCGTCCTGGGCCAGGGAGGCTGCGAGACCAGGAGCCGGCCGCTTTTAGGGACACTTGCAGAAAATCCTAGCAGGTGGAACTTTGGCAAGATGTAAAATGAAACTATGGGGCATTTGCCCGATTAGAGCTGAGAAAACTGGGATTTAACAGCAAGATAGTTCATTTTTTAAAATATATTTTTATTGATTTCAGAGAGGAAGGGAGAGGGAGAGAGAGATAGAAACATCAATGATGAGAGAGAATCACTGATTGGCTGATTCCTGCACGCCCCTCTGTGGGGATCGAGCCTGCAACCCAGGCATGTGCCCTGACTAGAAACTGAACCTTAACCTCCTGGTTCATAGGTCAACATTCAACCACCGAGCCACACTGCTCAGGCCGTTAATTTTTTAATTTTATTTACTGAGACCTTCTCTTGACAGAGGCCTGTCAAACAGATAGCCCATTTATTCCATTTGATGAAAAAAAATTCCAAACTTTTCTCTGTGTCATCAAGCTATCAGTTTGGCGAGGCATCGGATGCTCACCTCTGCTTTGGGGTCTCAGTGGACAAGGCCTGCACATGCAGGGCGGGGCCAGCAGAGGGGGCACCTGCTCCCCAGGAAGGAGGCACCTCCTCTGGGTTATCCGAATCCTTGGTTCTGGTTCACACTCCCGGGGCCTGCTGGCCTGCCCTCCGGCGCTGCCCACATGCCCTCACTCTCCCTTCTTGGGAAACATTGTAAATATACTGCAAAGCAGAAAGGACCGTGTAATAAAGACAGACATACACACCCTTCATCTAGAGCAGTAGTTCTCAACCTTCCTAATGCCGCGACCCTTTAATACAGTCCCTCATGTTGTGGTGACCCCCAATTTCATCGTTACAAATTGAACATAATTAAAGCATAGTGATTATTCATAAAAACAATATGTAATTATATATGTGTTTTCCAATGGTCTTAGGTGACCCCTGTGAAAGGGTTGTTCGACCCCCAAAGGGGTCGCGACCCACAGGTTGAGAACCGCTGCCCTAGAGTCACAGATAGCACTTGCCACTTGCGTTTTCTCTGTATATATCTATTTCCCCTGCTCCACTAACAACTGGTATAGACACCAGGACATTTCATCCTGAATACCTTATCCTGTTACCTCCCACATGCTCGCCATACAATGGCCGTGTTTAGAAAAATGAATGATAACTCAATATCATCTATGCAGCCCATCTTCAAAGTTCTCTGGTTGTTTAAAAAGCATCTTTTATAGCTCTGTTTCCCTAAGCCAGGATCATTGTATTTGATTTGTCTCTTTATTTTCTCTCTCATTATTGGACAATCCCTCTGCTTCCCTCCCATATGCCAGCAATTTTCAGCCTTTTTCATCTCATGGCACATAACTAATTACTAAAATTCTGCGGCACACCAAAAGATATATTTTTGCATATCTGACAAAAAAATAGCTATCATTTTAATTCATTCACACCAGACAGCTATTGTTGTGTTGGCTGTTGTCATTTTTTATGTGACAGTCGAAGGGAAGAGGCCGGTGCCCCTGAGTAAATAGCCGGGCACTCCAGGTTTTAAACATTCCCGCGCTGCACGGGGCGAAAATCGCTGCCCTGAGGCATTGCCAGTTTGGCAGTACCCAAGCCTGTCCCTGTCCGATGTCCCGTTTTCTGGTTTGTTAGGTTCTGTCCTCCTGAGTAAATCCAGATGGAGAATTTTGTCGAGACTGCCACAGAGGTGACCCTTGCATCTTCTGTGGTGCCACCTTAGGAGGCACCCACACCAGGCCCCCGGGGGGAGGGGGGGTGCTGTGTTTGCTCACTGGTCCAGGAAGCAACTGCTGGATTCCACGTAGTTGAGGTCAGATTTCCCCCTGGTAACCAGTAAGCAATCCAAGGGTGCTCAACAGTTCTTCACCCAGTGACTTAATGTATCTTCATGAGTTACATTTGAATCAATTATTCACTGGGAATTACAAAATACCTAGTTTCTAATTCTAACATTTCTTCTATATGTAACAGCTGGTATTCTACAAAGAAGGAATTTTTCTCCCCAGCCCATTTTCTTTCATTTAGTTGAACATTATTCCTATGAACTTCAGTGCATTTTAATTCATTGCCATCGTGAATCTTTTTTATGCTCTAATTATCCCAAGTTTATCCAGTACAAGTCACTTCTTCATGGCTTTTACAGGACCCCATTAGTCATTGAGCATTTCCTAGACTTTGACACAACACAGTAATGCCAGTTCACCTTGTACTGTCCCTGCTCAGACTGGAATCACATTTCCCCCAGACTCCCTCCTTCCCTCCCTCCCTCCCTCCCTCCCTGCCTGGCTCTCTCCCTCCCTCCCTCCTTTCCTTTCTTCCTTTCTCCCTCTCTCCCCTTCCTTTTCTTGATGTGGAATAGTTTTCACAAACCAAGGTCTGGGCACAATGTGTGCTCATAACTACTGAAGCATTATTGCATCTACACCCTCTCAATGGACAGTCAGGAAATGTATATTAAAATCACAAACTCAATACCTTAAGGTTCTTCTTAAGCTTTTCTTTTTTTATATTTCCCCCTGGCTTCTCCAAAGTGAAGGCCCTGCTTCTCAACCATATGAAAGCTTTTACTCGCTTGCTGTATCATATAATATACACACTGACAGAGTTACAACAGTGCACAGCTACACACTTACTTAGCAACTTGAACATTCTTTTACCATTCCTCTTTTTCTTTTTTCTTTTTTTGGAATTTAGCCTCTGTGTGTACAGAGTATTGTGTTCAAATTGAGTTTATTTCTCTTTGAGGTTGCATTACCAATTTGACGCAGTGAGAAATATTTGATTGAGTCTGTCTGCCCTGTTCCTGTTTTCTTTCTTAATCCTTTAGTTTAATTGTGTTTTTGAGAATGAAGAGCATGCAAACCCCGAGGTCTTGCTCCCATCCCTGTTCACTCCACCACACCTTGAGCAACTGGTGCCAATCGTTTCTATCTTACCCTTTCTGTGTTCATTTCACAAATTATAATGGATTAAAAATTTTACATATATACAATATTTTATAAAATTAAATAAATGTTTTATCTATACTAATAAAAGGGTAATATGCTAATTAGAGTGGACATCTTCCGGACATCCACCGGGACAAAGCCACAGCACCTGCGAGGCCCGGGGCTCAGGCCTTGTAGCTGTTGCGGCCGGCAATGGCAGCAGCAGCGAGGTGATGGGGCGGCACCTTCACCTGATCAGCCTGGTCGCTTCCTGCAGAGGGAGGCCAGACTCCCCCTGGGGAGCAGGCCTAAGCCATCAGTAGGACATCCCCTGAGGGGTCCTGGACTGTGAGAGGGGGCAGGCCGGGCTGAGGGACCGCCCACTCAGTGCACAAATTTTCATGCACCGGGCCTCTAGTATATACACAGATATACAATTTTTCCAGTCCCTGTGTGGGTTTATATTTTTATTTGTCCACTGGCATTTGTTGCAGTGTTTAGTATGAGATAAAGATTTAGTTTCCTCTTTTTCCCATCTGGCAACTCAGTTATCTCAATATCATTTTTTAAAACCACCCTATTTCCCCAGTGTTGTTTTTTTAAATTTATCTTTATTGTTGAAGGTATTACAGATGCCCCCTATTTTCCCCCATTGACCCCCTCTTCCCCACTTCCAAGCCCTCTCCAGGCCTTCACCACACCACTGTCTGTCCATGGTCTATGCATATATGCATGTAAGTTCTTTGGTTAATCTCTTCCCCTGCCTTCCCTCTGAGATTCATCAGTCTGCTGCATGTTTCCATGTCTCTGTATCTATTTTGTTCATTAGATTCCACAAATAAGTGAGATAATGTGATATTTGTCTTTCTCTGACTAGCTTATTTCACTCAGCATAATTCTCTCCAGGTGCCTCCAAAAGTTAAGAGATCCTTCTTTTTTTACAGCTACACAGTATTCCATGGTATAAATGTTCCACAACTTTTTTTATCCACTCATCTGCTGATGGGCCTTTGGGCTGTTTCCAGATCTTAGTTATTAAAAATAATGCTGCTATGAACATAGGGTGCATACATTCTTTCTGATTGGTGTTTCGGGTTTCTTAGGATATATTCCTAGAAGTGGGATCACTGAGTCAAATGGAAGTTCTATATTTCATTTTTGAGGAAACTCCACACTGTATTCCATAGTGGTTGCACCAGTCTGCATTTCTACCAACAGTGCACAAGGGTTCCCTTTTCTCCACAACCTTGCCAGCACTTGTCATATGTTGGCTTATTGGTGGTAGCCATTAGGCAGTTGTGAGATGGTACCTCATTGTGGTTTTAATTTGCATCTCTCTGATTAGTGACTTTGAGCATTTTTTCATATGTTTCTTGGCCATCTGTATGCCCACTTTGGAGAAATGTCTATTCAGGTCCTCTGCCCATTTTTTTAATTGGATTGCTTGTCTTTCTTTTGTTGAGCTGTATGAGGACTTCATGTATTTTGGAAATTAACTCCCTATCAGATGTATCATTGGCAGACATGTTCTCCCACACAGTGGGGTCCTGGTTCATTTTGATGCTGGTTTGCTTTGCTGGGCAGAAGCTTTTTAGTTTGATGTCATCCCTTCTGTTTATATTTTCCTTTGTTTCTCTTGCCCTAGGCCAGCGGCTCTCCACCTGTGGGTCACGACCCCTTTGGCGGTCGAACGACCCTTTCACAGGGGTCACCTAAGACCATCCTGCAGATCAGATAGTCACATTAAGATTCATAACAGTAGCAACATTACAGTTATGAAGTAGCAATGAGAATAATTTTATGGTTGGGTCACAACATGAGGAACTGTATTTAAAGGGCCAGAAGGTTGAGAACCACTGCCTTAGATGATGTATCGGTGAAAATTCT